ATATGGTTGAGTTGGAGGGAAGCTTAGGAAATTCTAACTCCTTCATTTTACATAAGAAAAAAGAGAGGCCAAGGGAGGTTTAGTGATTTGCTCAAGGTTGTGCTGTTAGTAAGTGTCAGATCCAGGATTCAAGTACTTCAAGTCCCATAACTCAAGTTCAGCCCTCTATTTCTTCTGCAGCCACCTCCCTCCTTGACTTTTCCTTCTTGATCCCTGAAAGTTCTCTCCCAGTTAACAAGACTGTGAGAAGTCTGAAGTAAATCACTTCTTATGGCCATTGATGCCTATCCTTTCCTTTTTTATTGTTGTTCAGTTGTTTAAGTTGTGTCCAATTATTCATGACCCCATTTGGGGTCTTCTTGGCAAAGATGTTGGAGTGGTTTGTTATTTCCCTCTCCAGTTTGTTTTATAGATGAAGAAATAGGCTAACAGGGTTAAGTAGCTTGCCCAGGGTCAGACAGCTATTGTCTGAGGCTGGATTTGAACTCGGATCTCCTTGACTCCAGGCCTGACGCTCTATCCACTGAGTCACCTAAATGCTCCTTTTCTTAGAATGATGTCAGTTTACTTTCGTGTCTGTCCAATTACATGTAAAATCTGATTAGATTACAGATAAGTTTACATGGCATCATTCTTAAAACAGTGCCAAAATCACACAAGCCTTTGATAATCATTTACTTTTCTACTATTACCTGAATGAAGCTCAGACTACAAGGATGAATAAGACTCTTTAGAACACAATAACCTCACAAGTATTACATCACAATGAACTGTGTATGCTCTTGTAGAGTTTTTTTTTATTCCTGTTCTCAGATCTGCAGAAGCGATAGCAAGAATAGAATACACTTAAAAGTAGTGAAATTATTAGTGTTAGGTAGTTTAATGTCATGCTTCAAAGTGCTATGAAATCTGGTACTAAATGGCCAAGAGAAATAAAAAGAAAAAGAGGGTTAAGATATCACTCAATATTCCAAAATCACAATTACTCCAGTCTACGAACCAAAAGGAAATCAGAGATGCTTTAAAGTATTAGTGTTTCTCATTTCTCATTCTCAATACTTCTATACCATTATATCACTTTTTTCTAGTTTTATCTCCGTGACTATACCTTTAGTAATATGTTATGACTGTTCATTGCCACTGCATTATTGTGATTTGAGTAGTGGATTTTAAATGTTTTGAAATAAAGAAAAGACTCGATGAATACATTCACATTTATATAATAAAATGGAAGATATACATATTGGCCTTTTGAGTGCCCACTACATATTAAAGGGGAAAATTGCAACTCAGTAAAACATAAGATAGTTAAAGAATTATACAGATCTATTAATATGCATATTATCTGTTTAACCTCTTTTCCCCAATATTCCTTCCCCTGAAACTGGATCCTTGTTATCCACCCCATGTAGATCCCTCAGGCCCTCTTCTAAAGGTGGGTTGGTGAGTTGTCCAGAATATTTTAATGCACTCTACTGATGTCTTTGGCCAGATGCCCTCCTTTTTTGTTCTCAATCCTCAAGCCCCACACTGTGTAAAGTTAAGTGTTAGAAAATAATGGAACCTAAAGGTCAAAGGCTAAAGTATGCCTGAAATAGTTGTATTACTAACCTGAGGCATTTTGTGATGTTGTTCAGTTGTTTCATTCATGTCCCACTCTTCACAACCTCATTGGCGTTTTCTTGGTAAAGATACTGGAGTGGTTTGCCATTTCCTTCTCCAGCTCATAAAATGAAAAAACTGAGGCAAACGGAATTAAGTGACATTGTCAGTGTTTGACTCTAGATTTGAACTCAGGAAGATGAGTCTTCCTGACTCCGGGCCTGGCGCTCTGTGCACTGTGGTGCCATCTAGCTGCTGCTCTGGGGCATTATCAAGGTAATTGTCTGCTCAAAGGTAAAAATCTACAAACCCAAGAGTTTTTCTAGTTCCTTTCCCTTTAAATCCCAAATCATGGCATTCAGGGTTTTTTTTTGGTTTGTTTTGTTTTATTTTGTTTCAGCTTTTAACTGTTATACTTATTATATCATATTGAAGTTTTATAGTTCACAGGATGCTAGAGAGTTAGCTGTGCTAGGCTAGCACTGTTATCTCATAACATCATGGACTACGCATTATCTAAACTTTGTACTTAGGGCAGTAGGCACTTAACAGTTTTTGAATGAAGAAATCTACAATTTTGTCTATGAAATGGTTAAATGCTATATAAATAATAACAATAGCCAACATTTATATAGAAATTGAAGGCTTGCAAAGCGCTTTTCACATGTTATATATACATATATATGATGTTGTATAGGGATCACAAGTTATCATATAGATTTAATCATACTCATTTGAAGTGCTATGAAGCTTGAGTGCTAAAAGTTGCTAATCCACTTTTATTTTCTAATCCATGGTTTGACTTGCCATAACGTTATTTTGTTCACGTTCATACATTGAGGACCTGTCTTTCATTGCTTCAGGAATTATCTCCACTGTTGCAGGCTGTATAATGTAACGTTTCAAGTAACTTGAGGCTCGGAGACATTAAATGATTTGTTCATTGTCACCCAGTGACAGAAGTCACTTTTTGATCCCAGGTTGTTCTAACACCAGGCCCAGCGCTCTGCATGTTTCATCATGCTGCCTCTTTCGCTTAGTTCTTTTAAAAACAAACATACAGACATCATTACTACAGTTAGCTGTTAATCCTGTTAACTCAGCATCATCCACAAGTAGGTTATTTATAGATCTGGAACAGCTGCACCTCTTCCTTACTTATTCATAGTCCCCATTCCCATTGACAAAGTTCAGCAGAGAGGACACCCATTATTAGTTTCTGTGTTTGATGATCTCTTTTCTCATTAAATGAACTCGATCATCTAGAAAGACTTCCAAATGCAGAACAATTCAATGACTTCCATGCAATGTGCCCCATACCCCATTGCCAATAACATGACCATATACATATATGTCAAGGATGGGGGGGGGACAGGGGAAGGTATAGTAAAAAGCCCATTTTCTTCTACTATCTCTACCACTCACTAGCTATGTAACCTTGGAAACATTGTTTTGTCTTTCTGTGTCTCAGACCATAGAACATTTGCATCACAGATACTGAGATGAGAGTGACCTCAGTTTTGCCTACCTATAGAATGAAGAGATTGGAATAGATGAAAGCCTTCTTTTGTTTTAGCATATGATTTTGTGATCCTATAGGTTTCAACATATTACCCATGGAAATTATAAATCATGCATATGCATGCATAGGCAGCTGTGTGGTACAGTGGATGGAGCGCTGGAGCTCCATAGATTCAGGGAAATTTGAGTTCAGATCTTGCCTGAGACACTTTACTAGCTATGTGACCCTTTGGTAAGTTACTTAAACTCTCTCTGTGCCTCGATTTTCTCATCTGTAAAATGGAGATAATAGTGATAACTACCTCCCACTGTTGTTGTGAGGATACAATAAGTTAATATTTGTAAAGGGTTTTTTTTTTGCAAAATTTAAGCATTATGCAGATGGTAGTTGTTATTGTTGCTGTCGTTGTTGTTACTACCATTATTATTTGGTTAATGTCATGGGCCAGGATGTTGAGATATAGATCCAAGGGAAGCTTGAGTTGACTCTTCACACACCTCCATTTTTTCCAAACCAAGGCCATTTGTACAAGATCCTGCTGACTTTGCCAGTTGTCTCAGAGGAAGTTTGATATAGTGTGAGCCAGAAATTTATGGCCCCAGCTGGCCAAGTTATAGATGGCAAGGGATCAGGGGATTGACTTGAGAGCCAGGACACAATTTTGTTGTTGTTCCATCATTTCAGTCATGTCTGACTCTCCATGACCCTATTCGGGGTTTTCTTGGCAAAGATACTAGAGTAGTTTGACGTTTCCTTCTCCAGTTCATTTTACAGATGAGGAAACTGAAGCAAGCAGGGTTAAGTGACTTACCCAGAGTCACACAACTAGTAAGTATCTGAGGATAGACTTGAACTCAAGAAAATGAGTCTTCCTGACTCCAGACCTGGCACCCTATACACTGAACCACCAAGACACAGAATGATATGTAGTGTGTTAAGCCCAACAAATACACATACACACAAACACTGTGAGACAGAACACTGTGAAACAGAGCCAAGTCAATTTAAATTCACGTTGATCCGCAGGTCAATCGACCTGAAACCTAGCTGTGGGCCCTTTGACCAAGGAGTATAAGAGGATTAATCTGTGGATTGAGCAGCTGCGAATCCCTTCCTCTCCACCCCTTCCTTCAGCCATGGACTGCTTTTCTCTGTTTGTGGCTTGTTTACCTTCTTGTGGAGTATTTTTTACCTGGAAATCATCAAGTAAATTTTTAGTAAAGTATTTATCTGAATGAATCATCAGACTTCAAGTGATTCATTGCACCAGATGAAGAACCCATTAACTGAATGTGTGTAGAAAGGGAGAGGGTATTTTTATATTGCACAGGGGCTGAAGAGATAAAATAAGAGTTGCCAAAATGAAGAAATTTGTCAGCTTCTCAGTTTTCTCCAATTTATGTTTTCATAGCAAGGTTTTATTTTGGTGTTTATTATTATAATATTCTGAAAATCAGTCTGCTAAAATTCACATTGAAATAAGGAAATCCATCACTAATTCAAATAAAACAAATTAGTTTTACCTATTTATTTTATTTTTTACCACTGAAGAATTATTTGTGCCTCATTGACTTACTCTATTGGTATGATTAATCAAGATGGATTTTTTTTCCCATCTGTGTGGTAAGTTTAAAGATTAAAGCAGTAAAGTGTGAGTTATTATTAAAATATCTTAAAGTTCCTAAATTCTCTAAAATCTTGGATGGAATTTTGGTTTTCTTAAATTTTATAACACCTAAGACTGTCAAATGTATAATAGCCTCTTTTGTACTTTCACCCCTTTTAAAATATTCGGCTTGAATATTTTAATAAAAGTAAATGCAAAAAATCCATGCTTAGAACATCTTCTCAATTTAGCCTATCTAAATTTTTCTAGGAAACTTTTGGACACCGAAGATGAACTCTCTGACATCCATATCGATTCAGTCCCATCAGAAGTTCGGGATTGGCTGGCTTCTACCTTCACACGGAAAATGGGGATGACAAAGAGGAGACCTGAAGAAAAGCCAAAGTTTCGTAGCATTGTGCATGCTGTCCAAGCTGGAATTTTTGTGGACAGGTGAGTGTAAACTCTATCATTCCAAAAGTGAATAGTAACAAATGCCAATGAAATATTGATGAAAGTGAAAAAAAAACAGACCTTAAACTGGATTATAAATGTTCTAAATGGTAGTAAATGGACTGTCTGTGTGGAGGCAGTGGAATCTTCCTCACCAGAAGGCTTTTTAAAAAAGGTGGATGGTTGTTTGTCATAGAATATAGGGGATTTTTCTTTAAGCATGGTTTGGCAATATGATTTCTGAGGTACTTTCCAACTCCAGTATTCTGTGATTTAGTAAGCAGATATTCCTGCCTCATGGTACCTTCATGGCACTTATACCATATGTGTGTGTGTGTGTTATGAAAATGAATCTTGCTAGTTTTTTTTAGTTTGACTTTTTGTGCTAAGAAACGGTTTAAAGAAACGTTTCAACAAATAAGTGCAAAATTCCATTGATTATGAGTTGGATGAGAATACTTAATGGTACCTAATTTTTTTTTGTTAGCACATCTTTGGTGAAAATGTAGCATTTGATGAGATAGCTGATTCCCCTAATGACTTTTGATTCCCACACCACAAAGAACCATGATTGTTTAAGAACTAAAGATCTATTAGCTATCAACCACCAAAGAAAATCTCTCATTTTTTGACTCCATAGTGCTTGTTACTTTCATTTGTCTGGAGGGAGGGATGGTGGGAGTGGGGAAGGGGGAGGAGAAATCTGTTTATGAGGATGTTTTATCAATGCCAGTGAAGCAGGTCAGATCTGAGAACTTCCTGGAATCACAAAGGCAAGACACTCAGTTAATTCTGAGATGTGAAAAACACATCCCAAGCATTTCTGATCCCAGCCTTACTGCTGGCCATTTTGCTCCTTAATAGCATAGACAATTTCTAACTGAATCAGGGTTTACTACTGGAGGCAGTACTAAGTATGGTAACATGATCTACAGTAAGTTTTGTCAGTTCCTTAAATTACAAAATAATGAAGATTCTCCTTTCTGAAAAAGAACAGTGATGTCTTATATTTATATAACCCTAGATGAAATTTATATAAGAAGACGAAATTGGCAGATTGGTGCAGCACGATGATGTTCTCTCCCAAGATGAGTTTAGCGTCAAATGATGGTCCCTATTAATTAATGTTTTCTGGTTATGGCATAGTCTACTTTTACTTGTATTGAAAACTTAAATTTTAAAAATTTTCTTTGTGCAAGTAAGGTTACTTGGCTTCTATTTCAGTTTTCAAAATGAGAATGAGGGTGGAAATTTGTTATGAGAAGAATGCTCGGTAATTGTAATTGTTGTCTCTAACATGCAGGAGCCGTTATTTTTGCTTTAAAATCCTAGTTTTCTCCTATTTCCTTTGGTGTCTCCTTTGTACTTACCTCCAGCCAACATATTAGCCACTTTATGATTTACTTGGGCTGTTTCGAAATTGATTACAGTGGCTGAACTAGCAGTGAGCCACAGTCTCATTCTATTTGTTATATATAACCCTGGCCTTCATCAGATTTTGACTTGTCATTTCATCAACAAAAGTAACTCCCAGAAAGGAAACTGACTTTACCAATGCTATTAGGCATAGTCTCTATAACTTACAGTCTTATAGTAATCTAGATAAAAGCAGAGAGGTTAAGTAACTTTTCCAGGATCACACAGCCTGTAATTGTCAGAGAAAGGACTGGAAACCCAAGTCTTCCTGGCTCTGTGGCTGACTCTCATTTGACAGTGAAATAATAATAATAATAAATAGCTTATGCATAACACTTTAAGTTTTTCAAAATACTTTGTAAATATTGTCTCATTTTGTCCTTATAACGACCCTGGGAGGTAGATGCTAGAATGCCAATGGTATTTTTCTTTAATGATTCTAGGCTAAACTAGTATAAACAACCTTGGGAGGTAGATTCTAGAATGCCAATGGTATTTTCTTTAATGATTCTAGGCCAAACTAGTAGAAATTTGAAAGGGGAAAAGTATATTGTTAGGGGATAGTTGCAATGATAAAAGAATAGATTATTTCTATTGGAATTTTCTTTCAAAAATATTCCTAAAACTAGCCAAACTTATGCTAACTATCTTTTTCTGTTTAATTTGAAATTGATATGAGTCCTAAATAACACTGAGAAAAGGCCATGAGAATATTATTACTACATTGTTTTTCCCTGAAGGACACTATCCCTTTACCCTTTTTTGTATTCTCAGAAAACACTGCAGAACTTAGAAACATATACAGAAATGTAAGTTAGGATAACACTCCAATACATTTTCCATCTTGAAGAAGGAGATTAAAAAGATTTTTGCAGAATATGTTGTATATGCTTAGTATGCCTGTGTTTCTGCACATTGTGTTGTGTGCTGCCAATTACAGATATTTTTGGTAGCCAAACTAATTACTAAAAAGTATCAAGGAAAAGGCTACAAGAAATTAATATACTAGCATAGTAAGGGAGTTGAATCTTTTTTAGTTGAGAAGCCTACATTAATTAGTGCATTCAAAGTGCTGGAATAAAATTCTCATTAGATTTATAAAAGTAATCATATTTCCTGTATATTTCCTTCAATTGGATTTTTAGCCTAATCTGTCCATTTTTAGAATCATAATGAGAAATCTCATAAATTATCCATTATATTGGATTGAGAGCTGGCCTTAGGATTGGGAAGATCTAGGTTCAAGTGTCTCTTCTGACATATACTAGTAGTTGTGTGAATCTGGGGAAGTCACTTATCCTCTTAGTGTCTTAGGCAACTCTAAGAATTAAAGTGGCAGTTCAGATGTTGAATTGCATTGATGGAAAGGTTTTTTTCTGGGTATAACAGCACAAGGTCATATGCAAATAGAAGCATCAGTAGGATCATACAATCCTCATTGAACTGCTTATGGTTTATATCATCTGTCACAGTGGCAAGAATCCTTGACAAATATATATTAGGTAACCCTTATCTGATATTAATGATCAAAGAGTCATTGAACAGGATTGTTAGGGTTTTTTTTTATCAGTTGTAATGTCTTTTAAGGGATCTCAAATGATTTTGATGTATGAGTGGGGGATACTTTGTTGGAAAAGAGCCTGTAGGGTGGTGTTTTGCTCAATCAAATCAAATACTTTTTTTCATAATTAACTAACAAGTATAATGGAGACATATTCTTCATATCTTTCAGCTCACTGTCAGAAATGTGGTAAACTAAGGCAAATAATTAATAACAAGTCACATATTTATTTCAGGTCTCCAGTAGAACATGTTGTTTCGAGATAAATAATGGAGAAAATCCTCCAATTTCTGCTTCTTTCTGTTGAGGGAATACAATTCTGCCCTTGAATGAAGACTTTCTTCTTTCAAATTTTTGCTACTGGGATTGTCATTTGTGGACTGAAGTAGCGAGCCAATTATTTATACATAGTGTTATTAGCTTTGATGCCAGCATTATTTTTATTTATTTTACTAAAGAAACAGGTATAATTTTGAGCTCTTTATGTATTTTTCTGAGATAATTTCAAGTAATATTAAATAGTGCCAACTAGAGAAATGTTTATTTCTCCTTTCTAGTTCAATATCTCCATTTAACATTTAATGAATTCTTTCCTATTATATTCAACTTCTATAACAAATATGTCTGTTGCTCAGAAATAAGAAAAAAAAACCATTCATCTAGCAGAGCAAACTTTGGATGCTGAGCCCAAATGGCATAAAGAACTTTGTATCAGAAGTCATGGCCTATCATATACAAAGCTTTCCATCATTCGGTGGTTTGAAATCAGGGTGGAGATGTCATGAATTCCAAAAAACTTGCTCTGCTTGAAGAATGTTAAGGATTCCGAGTAACTTGCCCATTTAAAAACTGTATTAATAGTATGTGAATTAATTAGCACTCCTTTTACCAATGAAAGTTGTGAGCCCACCACATCTTCTCACCTTTGTACCACAGTCTAGCCATATCTTTCTATCCATTCTTCATAGAAAATCCACCCAATGTTCTAGAGGATTTCCTCTGGCTTAAAAAAAAATCTTAGGAATACTTTTACAACTTCTTACAATCAGAGTTTTGCTCTGTATTGACACAGACATCTGAAACTATTAATTTGTTGCTATTCTAAGCGTGAATTTTTATCTGATTCCCAATTCATTGATAAACAGCTAGAGGAACAAACTTCATTAATACCAATATTCTCGCTATAAACTAAGTGAGAAGACATATGGAAGTTAAATGGAAGAATGAATATGGAAGTTGTAGTTCAATGACGAGACAGCTTGCTTCTCCTTGGGCAAATAAAGGCGTTAGCAGAATTCTTTTCTATCTTATAGAATAAAGAAATAACATAAAATAGCATAAAGAAATATCATGTTATTCTATACTTGGTTATCTCCACTTTCAGTATTCATGTTGTACATGCTCAAAAAGACTTAAGAAGATAATTTCAATATTTGCATTGACATCCATTGAAAGGAATGAAGAAGTAGAGGTTTATTAAGACCTCAGCATGATTTTGATAGTTGACTTTCAATGACAACATAGACACAAAGAAAAATCGCAAAAAAAAGTATGTTAGAAAGGATTCAAAATTAAGAAATGAAGGCTTGTAGGTTATTTAGAAATCTCATGCCCATATACCATGAATAACTTCCTCAAGCCTAAAGTCAGTCAGAAGGTTTTGGGCATAGCAAGCACTGAATAGCATCACAAAGAATGCTGGTTAATTATGTAAAAGGATTTCTGGATTGGCTACGTATGCAGTCAGACCCCTTGGCTATTACAAAGACCAAACCTTAATACTAAAATTAGTGAAAAAGTCCAAATGGAACAAAGATGGAATGGGCAATTATGACTATTTGAACTTGACCTAATTTTTTTTTAATCAATTAATAGAAAATGGTAGAATGGCTTAGATCTTGCCCTCTGCTGGCAAAGTTTTCAAGGATCCAGGGTTACTGGCAAACTGTGATAAGACATTGAAGTATGACTTTGGTAGAAGAGAGAACATAATGAATGATAGAAGATAAACTTAACCAAAAGAAATTTTCCTTCAGACTTAAGGAACTACATAGAGACTTTCACTCAATAATTGTCTGTTTATCTTTTTAGGATGTATAGACGGAGTTCCAACCTATCTGGTCTGGTTTACCCATCATCTGTCATTGTAACATTAAAGGTGAGAAATTTGTCCTATTTTTCTCCAATTTTAGTTCTGAATTTTTAATTAAATTAACTGTCAAAAATAACAAATTTCTGTGATATGGACATGCTGGCATGTATATTAGTTTTAAAATTCAAATTTAAATATCCCACTCCAAATCATAACCTAGTAGACTGAGTGAAAAATTGATCATTAGAGCCTACAATCCTTTTTATTTAAGAATTTGCATTAAGTACCTTTAAGAGAAACCAAATTCAACCAAGTGTATACTTAGACATATATAAAGAATAAATGGGCTTGGCATTGCTTTGAGATTAGTTTTTTAGATATGAGTACTATAAGAAAGAGTAGAAGGTAAGAATAAAGTGATTATACAGGAAAATCATCTCTGTTATGACTTCATCATGAAATAAAGTTGATTTGATTCAGACAGCTAGATTTTCTGAATGAAAGTTGGCAAAGGGAACTCACTGGTTCATTTGTTCTCACTAACTCCATCTTCCATGGTAGTCTCAAGGTTCTTACTGGGACAACTTGCTTTTTGGGTAGGCATTCACTCCCAATGTCATTTCTTCAGAGGATTTCCTTTAGGGGAAAATGTGACACTTTTTCTCTCAAATGAGCCAACTAACTGAATTAGCTAGTTGACGGAATTGGTAGTCCCAGAGATAACTGGAAGGTGCCATACCCAAATACTTCCACTACTGGTCCTTGATACCCAATATTCTTTTAAAAGGATGTAAAGCCTTTTGTTTCAAAGGTAGAAAGAAATCTTAAAATTAAAATCTATGCATAAGATGCAACATATGAATTTTAAAATGGAGACAGCATTGAACAATAGAAAGAGTGCTCTGTTTGAGCCAACTCTTGCTTTTGCTGCTATCTTAATTCCTGTTTGACTGTGGGCAAGCCATTTAACTAGTCTGGATCTTATTTTATTCAAATATAAAATGAGTATGTTAGGCTACAAGACATCACATGTCCCTTCCATCGCTACATCTGTGATCCCAAGGAATGACAACTTATCAGAGCCTTCCTCAAGGGTAGATTTTGTTGTGAGTAGAAGTTGGTGGGGGAGCTGCCAACCCAAATATTTTCAGTGATTTCTTTGTTTATTGGCATTAAATAGGGAGATGTGTGATCTGCAAAGATATTCTCCATAGTGATTGAGGATATACTGAACAAAATCCAAAAAGGTAAAACAAATCCATTTAGATGGTGAGGTCTTCAAGTTAATCAATTAAGTTGGAGACAAGGTAGAGGAAAGAGATATCCTAAATCGGGGAAAGATTCCCAAAAGTTTATCATTGTCCTCTTTCCTGATGTTCTCAGCTCCATCAAAATTTGTCCTTAGTATACTTTTCTATGCCAGACCCCTTGCAAATTAACTGGATGGCACCTATGCAGTGCTTTGAAGTTTGCAAAGTGCTTTAAAAATATCTCTTTTTATCCTCAAAACAATCCTTGGAGGTAGGTCCTATTATTATCTCTGAGGCAGATAGAGGCTAAGTGACTTATTTAGGATTACCCAGCTAGTCAGTGTCTAAGGCAGAATTTGAATTCAGGTCCTCTGGATACCATATCCAACACTCTCCATTGTGCCACCTACCCACTAACTGGAGAGCTGTCTGTTGTCCATGTGTTACCTATTTCTTACTTAAAATCACTGACAGAGAGAAAGAGAATTAGATGACATCACAAACTAAAACGTGTCCTTTTTTCTTTCTACAGGATGTAGATAAATGGTCATTTGATGTATTTGCCCTGAATGATGCAAGTGGAGAGCACAGTCTGAAGTTTATGATATATGAACTATTCACCAGATATGACCTTATCAACCGCTTCAAGGTTAGAAACATTAAATGATGAGAAAAACTAATGAGTTAGATATAAATAAAATGACAGAATATGTCATTATATCAGTCTCTTTTAGGGTTTATTAACATAACACTCAGTAGGAGAGAGTAAGAAAATATATGCATGATATTTGTGAGTAGCTACATAGTTCCCTGATATCATTGCCTTACACATTTCCATGTTCCTTCAGAATTCATTATATCAATATATCTATTCACTTTCCATAGCAATTATTATGACAAATCACAGTTATATAATGCTTTATTGTTTGCAAAGTCGTATATACATGTATACAGATACAAATATACATATGTACCTGGATATAGGTATATGTATATGTAATTTGTATCTCACAACTCTGTAATATAGGTACTATTATTATCCCCATTTCAAAGATGAGGAAACTGAATCTGAGGTTAATTGATTTGACCAGGATTATATATCTAAGGCAGGATTTGAGCACAGGTCTTCCTTACTGGAAGCCTACTACTCTATCCATTGGTCCTGATTGACTAGTTATAGATCCTTCTGGAAGAAATCTGAGACCATTTCTTAAGGATACAATAATGGGAGCATTCAAGACATATATCTATTTTGTAATATCTTATCTCAAAATTACACTGGAGAGATTTACAATCAGTTCGTGCCTTTGCGGGCACTAAAAGATCAGAGCTATAACTAGCAATTTTTGGCATCCAGGGAAATTAGCACAAAATATGCTCAGAACAAGTAGGATAAAGGGAAACCTCAAATCACCTAAGTGTCTTATGGTATGAAAATAAGCCCCCAAAATAATTATTACAAACAATTGAGCAGCAGGGTAAATTAGTTAACAAATTGACTTATTAACTGCTGAAGGAGTACATAACATAAGTTAAAATTGTTGTACTCTTTGAACTTTGGTGCCTTGCGGCAAAACTCCTATCACCCCGATCCTCATTACAACTTTAGTTTTAATCCATATTACTGAACAGACTATAGCCTATAACTTTAGTTATTAACATGTAAAAAAAATCATAGAATTTTCAACTTGAAAGAGCTCTTAGACATCGCTTAACTCAATCCTTTCAATTCACAGATGTGTCAGTTGAGGCATGCTTTTTAGAGCTGATAATTTTCTGTCAGATAACACTTATTAATGATGCTAAACATAGGGTTTGACCTGGGAGTCTGTTGCAGCAATGTTCTTAATCATAAATTCAACATAAGCAAATATACTAATTTATTTGACTTCAAACACTTTTACTCATGTTAATTTTGTTAGAATAATAGTTTGTTAGAAACATAATGAATAATCATTGCTTTCCACAGATTCCTGTTTCTTGCCTAATTTCCTTTGCGGAAGCCTTGGAAGTTGGTTACAGCAAGTATAAAAATCCGTATCATAATTTGATTCATGCAGCAGACGTCACTCAAACTGTGCATTACATATTGCTTCATACAGGTATCATGGTAAGGAATCTTATCTTTGTGTCTTAGAGAATTAGTTGAAGCATATTGGTGTGATTACCTCCTTTTTTCTAATATCTAAGCCTCACTTATTCCTTTAATAAAAGACAGGACTTTAATAGAAGTCCAGTATCTCATTATGAATAGAACATAACCATTATTTTAGATTTTCTGCTCCTATTTATTTATATTCTGAAATTTATACAAAATATATAGGTATTTTAACTTTATAAAAGAAGATAACCAAAGGAGAATTAGAGCACATTAACCATGTATTTTGAGAAATGGAGACTGGTAAGCAACTTTTGTCTTCTAGTATGTTTTTCTAAGGTATTCAGCAAAAACAAAACAAAATGACAAAACGTCATTACCTACATCTATCAGACAACATTCTTTTATTTCTTCTGCACAGTTCTTTGTTGGCAACATGTTGCAGCCTACTCATACCTACCACGCACCTCTCTATTATCCTTTGGGTGACATTGTGCTGTTCTATGACTCATGTAGTATTTGCCAGGAGAATATTAATGCTTAAAATATGGGCATTTGTTTCAGGGAGAAGCTTGAGGTCATTAATAATACCATATGATTTATAAAGTCAGGCCAACCCACTCTCCTCCTGTCTAATTCTGACTCCTGCTTTCTGTTTCTCCTATCCAAAAAAAAAAATTGTACTGATGGACAAGCTCTAGGTGTTATCTTCTATAACTATGTCATGATCTGTACAATGGCATTCTTGATGGGCTTAATTGTTCTCATTTGAAAAGCTAGGATGAACTCTTTCTAGTGGTGATGGATTCCATTTAGGAGGTCCTGCACTGGTGTGAGTCTTGTCCCCATTTGAATAGTTAGGTGGGCCTTCTTTAAGTGATAATCGATCTCACTTAGGAGGACCTGAACTGTTTTGAACCTTGATGCAATGAGCACAATGTCATTCTCAACCAAGAAGATGCAACAGACCTTGTCATCTAGGGATCACTTTCCATGTAGAATCTTCACTGAACATCTTTCCTGACAGTGGTAAAATATCTTTGGTGACCGTGTGTCTCCTTTTTTATGCTTCAATTCATATTGATAACCAAAGGATCTTCAAATTAACTTATACTCATTATATCTCTCAAGGAATATTGTGAGATTTTAAATTTTTTTATGTGTGCATGAGAGACACCTAATTGGAAGAGAGACAGCCTTCATATGAAAGTCATGGGCCAATTTCTGAAGCCTTTTCAGTTTGGTTGGAGTTGCCCATCCTTGACCTCTGGGACCCAAGGTCTTTCCTGACCAAAAAAATGCTTTTTCTTCAGAGGACAACTGAAGCAATAACATAATCGTTATTCCAGGTCCTCAATCCTCAATCCCAAGTCCTGTTCTTGTCCACAGTTTTCCTGGTCCCCATATGCTATTTCTTTTTATACACAAGCTTAGGTATAACCCTCACAATCCTCTAGGATGCTTTCTAAAAGGGATAGCAGCATTCTTTGTCATGTGACAACTTGTGTCCACCATGATCAAGCTTCACTTATTTCTCTCTTCTTCATGGTCCTTGATTTCTGGCTTTCTTTCCCTTATTCTGTTCCTCTATCCTTTCATTCAGATTAACTTATCTTTTTTTCTGTTCTTATTTATTCCTTTGGATTTAGCATTTATGGCTTCTTCTTTGTTGTTCCATTTATTTTACATCTCCCTGATTACCTGATTGTCATGTTTCTTGTCCCTACTGAGCTGTAAATGGCTAGAATCTTCCTGTAGTTAATGTTAATTGTCAAAGAAAAAGAAAGTCAACAAGCCTTAAAGAAACCAAAAGGGCCTGGTCCAACCACAATGTCATTCTGTGGACCAAAGGAGCAGCTTTTAAGTAACATCAGCTCAACATCACATTGCAATATACAGCAAAAAGCCTGAATTCATTCTTCTCTCTCTCTTTCACACACACACACACACACACACACACACACACACACACACACACACACACACTTTGTCTCTCTTTTGTACACATACACTTTCTCTCTCTCTCTCTCTCTCTCTCTCTCCTTTCTCTCTCTCTCTCTCTCTCTCTCTCTCTCTCTCTCTCTCTCTCTCTCTCTCTCTCTCTCTCTCTCTCTGTCACTCACTCACTCACAGTAAGCTAGCTTACTTAGACTCGATTTTGAGTACCAGCTCAAACACTTTAGAAGTTAAGTTTTGATAAACTACTGTTTTTTCATGCAGTGCACTAAAACCTTTTTTTTTCTGTACTTTGCAAGAACATCTTTTAGAAGAAAAAATCCCTTTAAGCTTAGTAAGACTTCATTGTCAAAGCCATGTGTTTAGTGATTTGCTTTCCCTGGATTTGATATGCATGACATATTAGTGTGAGGAAATAAATTGCTTCTTGACAGCTACAAATACTGTTATTTACACTAGACAAAGTTACTTTGGATTCTGGCTAAAGATGCCATGTTTACCTCTTCTAAAGGTCTCCATCTTGAGTATCACAGTGCTGATAGTTTACATTTTAAGAGGCTCCTCTGAAGAGTCGTATGGCTTTGAAAAAAAGACTAAAATAAAATAGCCAAGTGTGGCAGTTGAAAAAAAAAAAAGACTGTGAAGTGCATCAAGGACAAATCAGAGAGATTGTGTGGTGCAGCATAAAAATATCTAGGAGACCTTCATTTCAATCCCATCTCCACTACAGGTTTTCTGTGTGACCTTGGGACATTTCTGCAGGGCCAAGTTTCCTTACAAGTAGAATGAGAGGATTGGATTAGATGATTTTTCAAGGACTCTTCTGGCTCTAAATTCTAAGGTCTTATGATTTCAAGAATGATGCTGATATATTGTCAGATGGGTTATTTTGTCCTTTGGTCTGGCTAAGCTGTTTTTCTTTTTTTTTTTTTTTATAAAGGAACACTCCCTGGGGACGTGAGAGTGGGTTGAGGTAGCCAGAAATGACTGAGATGTAAAAACAAAAGGAATCAAAAAGGCTTTCTTGAAAAGAGTGATGCTGAGCTAGAACTTAAATCAATAAAAATAAAACAGCCTTCTGTAATTTTCTAATTATAATAAGCAGACATTTGACAAGATGTTATTTCAGACCAAGAGGCAGCCTAGATTTCACCCTGTTTTCTGTTTTGATAACTTCTACTTTTCAACAAAACTAAATGAATTTTTGTCATTTATCTAAAGTGTTTCCTGTCAGTTGGGAAAATTCAAGCTATATAGTTTTGTTCAGAGTGATGCTGTCTTTTTTTTTCTTCTAAAAGGTCATTTTCTCAATTCTTATTTTTTATTTTTTCATCTGTCCAACAATATGAAATAAAGTAGAAAGGACATTATATTCTATGGACTTCAAAACCAAACAAGGTATGGAGATCATCTGAAGGACTATGGAGAAGAGAGTTTTGTAGAATTACTATATGTTCTCACTCTCTCTCTCTCTCTCTCTCTCTCTCTCTCTCTGTGTGTGTGTGTGTGTGTGTGTGTCTTTTTCTGTCTGTGTCTGTTTCTCTTTATGTTTGTCTCTGTCTGTCTCTGTGTTTCTCTCTCTCTCTCTCTCTACATTATAGGAGAATGCTGGAAAAGGTTTAATAAGCAGTTTCATGATGACTTTAAAGTTTAATCTACACTATTCATATTTCCTCCATCACTTTTTAAAAAAAATTTTAAGTTCTTTATTCTGATATTTCCACATATCACAACCATGAACCAATAAAACATTAACAGCAAAATCCCAATGTTTTGCTTAAATTACTTACTGAGCCTTGGTTGTGACAGACACCTTAAAATGCTACACATCTTTATTCTGATATTATGGCTTTTGGTTCTAGAACACTCTTTATTGGAAATAAAGCAGTGTATTATAGTTCACAATAAATCATTAAATGAATTAACTTGGTGGGTATGATGCTGACAATTACATGATGTGAATCTGGGAATAAGTCTTATTTCAAAAATTCAGGGGTAGTGGAGAGTGGACATGCAGCAGAAAGTTTTCGAAGGAGAAAACGATGACTGTGCTACTCAATGAGGCATCAGATGCTTTTGGCTCCAACACTACTGGCTGGAAGAAGTGCCAGTCCTGGTAAACTGTGCCAGTGATCTTCATGACAGTACAAAAGATCCTGTTATTTTTTTTCATACTAAATGTAGGTAGATCAGAATATTGCCCCAAATTGATTTTTACAAATCAACCTGGGGAACTTTTGATTGTCCTCTATCCATTCAGTTCTCATTATAAGCTCTAAAGTGACTGTTGTGTCAAGGAACCTTTCATGTGCTCCCAGTTGTTATACAATGCATACAGGCTAGTAAGGGTTAGTCCTGTCAGACTACCTCTTGCTACTCCACGAAGACCACCTGTACATTTATATAACATTCCTGTCATGGCTCCAGCTGCTATTGTATTGATGTCATCTTCTGCACCTCATGTTTTTTCTATGACAACACCAAATGCGCTATAGAGCAGAGCCAGAGAGCCCACAGTGTTAGCCCATAGTGCCCCTTACCTGGTTACCATATTTAAAATCTGTACATTTCTTGGCTTGGACCAGGCCATCTTTTGTGTTTCTTTTAGTCCCAGCCTCAAACCATTCACTGCTCCAAATGTAGCTCCTGTTATACAGCATCCTCCAATGGTAAAAAATGCCAGTTCAAACCTGCCCCGAGTTTTATTGGCTCCATTGGGTAAAATAAACTCATCTGTATAAGATATCTGGGATCCACATTTAAATACGGAGACAGAGGACTCATACCAGTAAGGGGGACCCCGGCCAGATCTGCGTTCGAGTAGCTCATCCCCGAGCCGCTCCCGCCGAAAAACCCCGCCAGGCCTCCCGAGGTTCTGTTGCTGTTGCCTCCGCTGCCCTCCATGGCTCAGCTCCTTCCTTTCCGTCCACTGCCCGAGGTCTCTGCTTCAGGCCGGGGCTCCTCCGGCGGCCGTTAGTCCGCGACACCGCGCAGACCTGACCGCGATGCTCTCAGCCCTCCCCGGCCGCAGCCGAATCCATCACTTTCTTAAGTCT